TACAGCAGACAACTTCCAAAGCACTAGTAGTACGACACTGTTTGTCACAGGTCAGTGGTCAATTAGCAGTGTTGTAAATCATTCTTCATTAAATTTAGACGTTGAAAGTATTTAACTTAAGGATACAAGGATACTTGCCAAGCAACTCTCCAGAAAATATGGAGCTAACAGATCCATCATTTATTATCGCCGGAGGGGAAGGGTCGGAGGTTTTTAGTTTTGTCAAGTTAAAATTTACCTTATCCCCCATAAGCCTCTTTAATTTTCCAATTATCTCCCCCCCCCTCGTTGGAAGTCAATTTTCAATTGCCTCCCCCCCTTTCTCCTCATTGACAACAACTGATTCTCCTTCCTTTTCCCCCCGAAAACCCTGTGTTCCCCCCCAAAAAAAATCCTTCCACACCCCTCCCCCAGGCGATAATAATATATGGTTCCTGAGGATACTTACCAAGCAGTCCTTCAAGAAGATATTCAAGGGCATGAAATGTCCAGAAAAACGGAATTCAAAAAACGAAAATTCAAATCCGAAAATGTAACTCGACACTGCTCGATAACACTTGACGATGAAAAATAGCTTCCTTTGAGTAAAATGCTTGAAGAATTAAAAACACTTATGTCCCTTTTATACACCACTGACCTGATAAATTGTACGCTTTTTGGGCCGCACATTTCCGGAAAGTTCATCAACGAACGTATGTTCTATTGGGAGCATTCTGCGCAACGGGGAAACAGTTTGATGGGCATGTCAACATGTTACCTCGTATACGCTGTGTCTGACGGAAGGCTTAAGAGGTACTTAGAGAAACTGTGTCGAAAAGTGTGCATCTTGAAACATTACACCAGAAGCACAGGTAATCGTGTAGCTGACAAGAGATATTTTTCGTTTGTTTCAAAAAGGGAACGATCCACCCAACAGTGCTACATCTACGGGTAGCGTTGCAAAAATTGCCCAGACGGGCATTACAACAAGTACTAGTAGACTTGCTTATCTCGTTACCACAAACAGCGTCACGACAAGTAGTGTCACGATAGGAAGTGTCACGCCGAGCAGCTTGAGCATTGCTTCGTATACCACAGGGATCGTGACAACGAAGCGGCCAACTTCAAATGTGATTTCTGGTCTACAACTGCAGGTATTTGATTTACATTAATCATTAAGTATTTGCAAAAGATTTGCATGTTTCCGAATTACCTCTGGAAAATCCTTGAGCTCATCCTTTCATATAACAAGAAGTATTCATTTAAGTGCAAATTAAACTCATTTTCATCCGAGCGGTTCAACATCAGGCCTCGTTTTGATAAAGAGACCAAAGGTAATTCGGAAATGGCCTATTCTCTATTCATTGAAAATAAAATTTAAAAACATATAATGCTTGAGGTCGGAACGCAATTTGTTCTGGAAAAAAAAAACACTTGAAAAGAACAATTCTGCCATGGTTGGACACAAAACTTATTTCCTCTTTGTTAACCTTAAAAGAAATTTCGTCGCTTGCTTCATTCACTGGGACTGCTAATAATGTTAACAACAGGAAATCTAGTTTACGGGATCAATTTTGCATTTAATGTTTGATTTTTATTTTATTTGGCAATTTCATCAGCTGCTCCATCTACTACAAGGGCTATTCTTACGTTTAATGATGTTGTATTTACGTGTTCGTATTTTGTGCCTTGCTATCCCCTTGGTAATATCAGCTGTCTCACACTCAGGTTGAGGCTATTTTAATCGGCGACAAGACCACCAACATTAGTTCGGTCCTTACCGAACTTACAAACCTGACAAAGCCTGGGAACGAGCTCAACCTTAACGCAAACGAGCTCTCCTCATCCGTAGATATACTTGAAAAACTAGTGACGTACAACTCCTTGGAGAACAACACGGCAATTACCACACCAGCTGAGCAACGTAACATCTTGGAAGTGGCGAGTAATTTATTGGAAGATAAAAATGCAGAAACGTGGTCAACGTTATTGAAGGTAAAGCCGTTGGAATTCGCTAGATCTCATCATGGTCTCCCTTTATTTATTTAATTACTGAACGTCAGGCTAATTGAACAACCGACCGTCTAAATGACTGTTTGACTAAATGGTTGACTGCCGAAGTGACTAACTGACTGAGAGACTGACTGAATGGCTGACAGAATGACCGAATGGCTGACAGAATGACCGAATGGCTGACAGAATGACTGAATGGCTGACAGACTGACTGAATAGCTGACAGGCTGACTGAATTGCTGACAGGCTGACTGAATGGCTGACAGGCTGACTGAATGGCTGACAGACTGACTGAATAGCTGACAGAATGACTGAATGGCTGACAGAATGACTGAATGGCTGACAGACTGACTGAATGGCTGACAGGCTGACTGAATGGCTAACCGACAGACTGACTGTGGAGAAAGACTCTTCGGTAAAGACCCACCTTGTAGTATTTTTAAACAATGTCACTGTCCTTATTTTGCAATTATGTGACTAAAAACAATCAGATGTTGTATTAGTCATAGCCCAAGCTAAAAAAAGATAACTGTTTTAAAGGAAAATTACACAAACACTACAACGAACAACATCATGATACCAATAAGACTGCTATGCAAAGAGCACAGCCTTTAACTTATACTAAGTTTACAATGCTTACCGCCATGTTCTTTGATACTTAATACATGTCAAGAATCGTGAAAACATCATCGATGTACTACTAAAGACGATGGATGAGTTTGGTTTTCAAGTAAGCAGTCAGCTTGGTGGTTCAATCAATTCCACTTCCTTCGTCCTTTTATCAAGAAACATTGCTTTCAGAGTTGATCGTTCAAACCGGAATGAAACGGTGAGTCAGCTGCATAGTTTTGGTTTGTTCTCTGTTTTTCCGGCCACTTTCAGTATCATTCCTTGCTTGAACGCATTATCACTGACCTTCAAGAAATGGCCATGAGCCGAACTGTAAAAGAATCACTTCTCGCGCAAATCCAGTGTACTGTTTCCTTAACAAGCGCTTCTTATCTTACAATTTGGTAATATCAACTAAGTTGAAATTATAAATTGGCCATCGAGGGGCTAACGCTCGAAACGTCAGCTTTTTGCTCTTTACGGTGGCCAATTTTCAATTTCAAGTTAGTTGATATCGACAAATTACCTTGTTATCCCCACCGACGCAGCACCAGTTTCTTGAGCAACTTACCACCTTTATTCATTGGCTTCTTGTCTTTCGCATGGAGAGTGTTAATCGATTGGGTGTCGCAAAATCAAAACCAAAGCAGTCACAACAGCCAATCAGAAGAAAGAAAAAATAACTTGAGGAGGGCATGTATGAATGAATGAATATATATATAGCGCAAATTAACATGTGGATATGATCAAATACGCTTTACAATAATGTGCGGGGGACTTTACCAGACTCCCAGAGGCAGTTTAAAATAAAAAAAAGGCGAATTATTCACAGATGCCCCCTCCCCTCAATTCCCAGTAACCAGGCCAGACCACATCACAGTAATCTCGTGATGTGCGTTCTTTAACGTCCCCTATCCAATCAAATTATCTAATTAAAGATGCAGGAGACGGGATCTACGGTTTATTCGTCCTTATCCGAGAAGACTAGAATGTCTGTCCAATTGTTGATATTATAGAAAGGTAGCACATTCTCTTCACTTATTTTAAGACCATAAGTGTTGGTCCGGCCAGGGCTCGAACACTCGACCTCCCGCACAACGGTCCAGCGCTCTCACCAATTGAGCGGTTAGCTCGATTGAGAACTCAAAGTAAAACAAAAAACCGCCTAAAGCGCGCAAAAAACGCGGGCACTCAATTGGTGACTGGTTTTACTTTTATATCTGATTGATTGAAAGAGGGGTGCGAGTTTTCTGGACCAATCACCGAGCGCAGTAAAGCAAAACCAATGCAATCCCAGACTAATTTCGATACTTGATTCAAAATTGGTCCAACCATACATATTCTTTTATTTCTATTTCCAGCTCCATGTGAACTTCACTCAGCACGGAGCGACATTTTTCGCTCCTAGGTCAGTGTTTTCAGACGCCCCAGGAAGTCGTGTGTCGACCATTGTCTACAAAACACTTCATAATGTGTTCAGACTTGCGGAGGAGGGATCTGGTGAGGAACAGAAGGAAGGGGGAAAGTCACAGACAAATGGTTCGAGTATCATTTCAGCTACAGTCTTACCACGCCCAAATTTCCCACTGGCCAAACCAGTTAAACTGGTTTTCAAACATTACAACCAGGTATGGACAGTATAAGCACTGAGAATTAAAAAAATTATAATTAAAAATTGGTTCAGCTTTAACGTGCACTATCGAGTTCTGGAGTGCGCGGGAAGTTTGGAGAGCACGAAAGAAGCGTAAGAGTTTCCCGAGGCGATAGCCGAGGGCAACTCTAGCTTCTTGAGTATTCTCCAAACTTCCCACGTGCTCCATAACTCGATAGTGCACAGCTGAAAGCATGAACCAATTGTTTTAGAACATAGCCGGTGGATTGTGCATCAAATCCGATGCGAAAAACGGACAACAATATCAGTTGAAGCGAATCGTGACGGCGCTGATGCCGAGTCTCCTTTTCCGTTGTTTTTCTCTTTTTCTGCCTCATTTAAAAACTCTAGCCAAGGGAAAAGGTCGAAGCATTGTCTTCGTTTTCAGACTAGTAAGCTGAGTTTCTGTTTGTATCCATTATTGTCGCGAAATATATTATTTTTCCCCGCGCTAGAAATGGCCGCTCGCGCGAAAAAAAAATTTCTGGCGAAGCGATTTGATGACGCTATCAGCGTGCACTATCGGGATTTTGAGCACGCTTACGTATAATGAATTTGATAGCACGGTTCTCCTAGCTATGTTCTAATAAATCAAAGTCATCAGCCGTGATTTGAAGTGTCTTATGTGCAATTTTATGACATGAATTGCAGAGCCGTAAATTGATTGGAAAATGCGTCTTCTGGGAGATCGGCCAATCGCGACGAACATGGTTGACACGTGGTTGTACACGCGTGGATCATAAATCAAATGCCAATGTTACAACGTGCGAGTGTGATCACTTGACCATCTTCGCTGTCTTAGTGAACAACAAGCCGGTGAGTACATGGGATACTACAGATAGATCACGTCTAAAATTCGGTCGAGTTCTGTCGTCATCGTTATCTCATGTAGGGTAACTGGCCACGGTTGATGTCTTGAGTGGGAGACCGCAAATACTCACCTGTGTTGTTCAATTTTTTTTCTTGTCTTTATTTTACGTTTTTCATGCTTCACATGCCAGCTTTTTAAAGTAGGTCCTCACGTCATTGTTTGTTGACACAGTACAAACAACAAAATTCTGTATAATGCTATACCGAGTAAGCACCTTTTCATTCGTCGAGAGAAAAGCTTGCTTAACTGGTTCAAGGGGGGTCTGCTCAGGAGGCTAGAACGAAGTCAACGTTAAATTAATTTCTTTTTCCACCTATAACCAAATTGACTGTGGGTAACAACCAACGTTTCCCACGTTAACGCTTCCAGGCGTCTTTTCTGTATTTCTCTGCTCAAAATGATTTTGTCCCTGATGTCCCCTGGAGATATTTCCGAGTTTCAACTCTTGAAAAGACAATCAACCAAATTTCAGGTTAATAATAGTCTGACATGAAGTTAAACGATTAAATGTTTTTTCATACATTTTCCCTGTTTAATCTCAACATGTATCAATACAAACACAGCAATACAAATGTTTGAAAATAACTCTCAGTGCCCTGTAATTGAATTAAAAATGAAACAGGTCACTCCAACTATTTAAAGAAACCTTCAAACGAAGGTAAAACACGGTAAAACATTGAAAAGAAGCTTCTAGGATCCCGTTTTGGTTCCATCGCTTTTGTTTCCTTACAATACGAGCACGTGACCTTCTTTTGCTACTTAAAACTAATAAACTACAGGCGCACTACTGCTCATCGTATCATCTTTAAAGAGAGGCTCTAAGTTCTCTTTAGCGAAGCACTTTTTTCTCGAGAGATTCACCACAGACCTATCTTGTCGAATAAATGTTCGACTTGATCCTTTTACTGCATTCAATGTGTTTCAATTCGTACATTTTGATGCGTATGATCCGATTCGAAATAGTGATCTGACCAGACGATCTGGTCTAGCTTGATCTTAATCGTAAGACCTGGTTTGAAGGATTTGTAGACCAGATGGAAACGTGACATAAAACGAAAACGAAACGTAAACAACAAGCTTAGACCACATGGCCCATACAAAACCAAACCCAGTATCGGGCGGGTAGGGCAAATACTAAATATGACGTATTGCCATCGACATATCTGTTTACCATGCACGCTGTCATGTATAATCTTGAATAAAATATGTTTACCTACTTTCCCTTTTAGGTTCAAGCCGCTGAACATCAACATTACCTTGAATACATTTCCACGATAGGCTGCGCATGCTCTCTGCTGTTCCTTTTGCTGACCTTTTCAGTGATTGTGTTGTGCTGGAAACAAGTAAAGAGTATTCGAGTCATAATGCTACTTAACCTTTGTATGGCCATTGCTGCTTCTTGTCTTTTTATCATCTTAGCTGGATATGCAGAAAACATAGAGGTGATTATAAGATATGGGACAAATCTGTTGATGTGTTTTTACATTGGTATGGCTACAGGAGGTTTTTCAGTACGTTATCTTTTACCTTCACACTCTCCACCTAATCATTTCTCAATAAGCTCTTTTCGACACAGAAGGTTGCCATTTTAATACTACAGCTCGTTTAAGACACCCATAATTTTATTCATACGCTCAGCGTGCGTGTAACTCAAAATCGAGCTCAGTGACCACCATTTTTTGTCACCTTTTGGCAAAGTTGTGCAATATATGTGGAGCAGGTTCAGAGCCACCCTAACTTATCACAAAATTGATTAAATCTGAATATCATCTGTTTAAATCCAGTAGTTCGTCAAGTTTCCTTGTCATTTCACCGGTAGCCATCTACACTCATGAGTTGATAGAGTAACCGTGAGAGCAAAGTTTCTATCTTGCAAACAACACCAAGACCCAGCCAGATATCGAACCCAGATCTCCTTACTCGGAGTTCAGCGTGCTAGCCCCTAGATCCCCGCGTTCTCCGACCAGGCATCGTTAAAAACTTGATCTCTTGTTTTGTCCGTAGATGTTATGTACAGTCACTGCAGTATGTCTCCATTATTTCCTGTTATGTGTATTTTCATGGATGTTGGGTCATGCTGTCATCTTATATTTCCTGATCATCAAAGTTGAGACGCAAAACAATCTTAAGTCAAGGATGAAATGGATCTACGCTTTTGGATGGGGTAAGAGAAATCAGCTGTTTAATTATAACTTTGCGACCTCGAGTCTTGTCGGGTGTCGTAGAAACAGTGGTTGATTATATGTAATCAATCACAGTCAGATATCGCGGATCACGTAAAAGCAATGTGGATATTTGTTGGACTTTTCTTAAATGAATACCTCGAAATGGCCTGAGCTCGAAGATCCTCGTCAGCTGATAAGTCAAGCAGCCTGTGCACGAGAACACGATCGTAGCTTAATATTTATTTCATTTTTTCTTCCAGTTTTCCCTCTGCCAATTGTGGCCGTGTCATTGGTTTTGACTGGTACAGAGAATTACGCAGCCGATAACTGCTGGCTTCCAAACGAGTATGGGATCATTTACTGGACCTTCGTTGCCCCAGTTGCGATAATCGTGCTGGTTAGTGGAGTTTTGTTTAAAGAATTTATTTCATCACCCATCAAACATTTTTACTGGTATGCGATTGGTCGAAACGCATCACCTGACAGAATTGGTGCTAACCTAGACCAGGAAATACGATGGGCAAAGAATGATAATGCAAAGAATGTTCGTAACGAAGAAAACATCCATTTAAAGTTTGAGTCAAGATGAAAGATCTAAATTGTTGTTACAAAAAAGCCAAAGATAGCTTTGAATATCCGCGTACAAATATAAGGTCTTCATTTGACGCTTTTTTTATCTTTCCTTCTTATTAATTGTCCGAGAAAAGTACTTTTTCCAAATGGCTCACTTTTCAGACTTCAAATTTTGTTAAATCTACTATGGCTTAGTAATTTCCTTTAAGAATTTCAAATTTTCAGTCATGTAAATGGTTTGCTTTCCTACCGACGCAAGCAAACAGTTGTTTTTCAAACTGATTAATCCGTCCTAAAACGCGATGGGTCACTGATCACATGATCCGAGCGCTCATGATGTGTCACCTCTGATTTCAAAAAGTTAACAAATGATAATAGACAAGAAATCATAAAACAGGTTTCTGCTCTGTTTTTCAGATCAACTCGATTTTGTTAATTGTCTTACTACATCGTATAAACAGAGCTTCAAGGTTCAAGGAAAGTATGACACGTGTCAAGCACGTGAAGGCTTGGTTACGACGCTCTGCCATGCTACTGCCTCTACTGGGAGTCACGTGGTCATTTGGCTTTCTGACGTTCATTTCTTCCACAGTTGTTTTCCATTACATTTTCACCATATTGAACTCGCTTCAAGGATTATTCATCTTTCTCAATTTTTGCATCTTAGACGATGCGGTAAGTTGTGTCCATCTGTTGTGTTAAGAGCGTGAAAATTTCACTGACATATATTTCAGTTAGAAGCATTCATTCAAATCGTTTGAGTCAATGAAATTCTTCAAACTTACCGCTAGTTCAAAGATTCTATGTTTAAAATGGTATGTGAGCAGAGAGCTACATGTCCTTGGTTTTTGTACATGCTAAATCTTTGGAAATTCTTTTGAAAGAAAAGTCATCAGAAAGCATACCTGTACGTTTTTCATCGTTGGGATTAATCAACTTCTTTCTACTACCTCCATTAGTTCAGAGAATCTATAGTCACTACGTTGTGTAAGGCCATGTATCCAAAGGAAAATTCAGACCTGCGCAGTAGACATGAATTAAGAAGATCTACTCTTGCGCAAACACAAATCGCAGGTGGGTAATGATTATCATTGCTGTCAAATTTAGTTGTTTTTTTGTTGTTTTTTTTTTCCACTCAAGTTGAAAAAAATTCGCGGTTTTAGCTCATAAGGAAACTTTATTTTTTCTTTGATAACTCGAATGCTGCTGAATGATACCTAAGCTAATAATACCCCCAAGGAATTAGTTATTTTCACATTAATTTTTGTGGGAGAAGTGAGAAGGGCCTCTAGAAGACTGGGGTGTCACTAATTTTTTTCCAGAGGCAGCTTCTGAAGGCAGCTTCTGTGTCGTTAGTCACAAAGTTTTTCTATCCACCTGTAATCGTTTACCTTCACAGTTCCTTTTAACAAGTCTCTAGATTTCTGATACATTCTCCATTTACACACCAGGCTTGTGTTCCATATAAGAGGTGGGATCGAAAAAATGCTTGCATTTGGTTTTTGTTGCCATGTTTACTTTCTGGTTTATGCGCACTTGTCTCAAATGCAAACTACTGAACTTCCCAATCGCTGATATTTCTACTTCTGATTCACATTGCAGTTTCTAATGACAAAAAGATTAATGCAAGTCGACAAGAAGGATTTCATGACCTCACAAATAAGAAGGACTC